AGAACCGAAGCGAGGAATCGTCTTCGATCTGAAAGCATCTTAAATCAGCAGACCATTCTTCAATCCAACGAGTGTCGACTATTATCTGTGATTGCAGTATTTCTAGACTGTGGGGAAAAATCCGTTTCAGACAGGAAATAAAGACTGTGCTGGAGCTCGCACGACTTTTTCTGGATAATGACAATCCAAGTATCTGCATGAGCCTGCCTTCTACACATACATTTGTAATTTTTCCCTATTATCCAAAATACATTCAAACTTGGGTGATAAATAAAATTAAGGAGGAAGTTTCCTCAAATGCAAAAAAATGAAGTGAAAAATGATAGTATAAAAGTATTTGAGGAAAATTTTTGAGCGGTAACAAATAGAATAGATTTAGATCGGATCAGTTCGTTCCCATATCGATCACCTCGTTGAAGAGTTGAGATCTGCTGGAATTGAAGGCAAAAGTGCGTTTATCCTCACACATGTTTTCACAAACGACAAGGATTTCATGGATTGATTCATGGGGAACTAATGAAATCCTACTATTCAATATCACTATAAACCACTTTCCAAACAATGACGCTTTTTCAGTTCATGAAAAGTATTAGATCGAATCAATCCAGCAGTATTATGTTACTTTCATTTCTGTGGCCTTTTATACCATTATGCAAAGCGATGAAGCGCAATAGTTAGAAATTCCATGTAATAAACACATGGTTACTGTTCGACACCTAACCAAGCGTCCTGTGGGAGCGCTCTAGGAGAGCTATCGTAACATACCAGGAATAATGAATTCGAACAACATTCGTCCATATTCATGAAGAAGATGAAATCCTTAAGTAGCAAAACATGTAGATTCAACGACTTTCATACTCGAAGAGCTCACTCCCACTAATCACTAAGAATCCTGGGGTCCGCAATTCAAATTCCACTTGTATTTTTTCCTCTGGAAACCCTACTTGAGCAGTAGTTTTTTTTCTCAGAAGCTTTAAAAACTGCAATATGGTTTCACACTTGATCGTCGCCACTTGCCAGGAAGTTATTGTGTCCTTCCTAGAACAGCAGTTATTTTTGACACTAACTCACTTTTCGCTGAGGTTCCTGAAGGTGGACTTCGCAATTCCACATACACAGTGGCGATTTTTATTGTTAATTCTATTACTGTGCAGTTTTGTGTATTTACTGATAGAACAGGGAGTGCAAAGAAATAAGAAGTTAGCAAAGGATGCTGGTACACTTCCAGCCTTTCCGACCGCTGAGGTAGATCCGGAGCTGTGCACCAGTGAAAATCTGTTCTTCCCAGCTCAGCTGGAGGAAAGAAAAATAGAACTAATCGCTTCAACCGTTGGTGTTTATCTAAGACGAACAAGTGATGCCGCAACAAGGTAGGTTGTAATGTTCGGCATGAATTCAATACAATCCGTTTCCGTCCTACAATGCCTACCTCTTCGTGGTTCAGTTTTCATTCAAAAAAATCCTACCTATTTAGCCATTTAAAAGCACGTAACGTTATCACATAATAACTCGAAAGACCGACTTTCCATAAACCTCGGCATAGATAGTTGATATATTTATCTATATGATCTTATAAACTGATCTTCTTAAGCTGACGCGAGTTTGGTTCAGGTCTTTATTGTCCTTGCCGTTGTTTTTGATGTTGTTGATCGATGGCTGTTTCGGCGACTTCGTCTTCCTCAGATCTTGGACGTATTTTATCTTAGAATATTTTTATTATTCGGTGGAAAAAAAAGTTAAAGGATTAATGAAGATCAAACTTCCAAATAGACGCCATATTGAACAGAAAGGCCATGAACATATTGAACATCGTGATGTTACGTGTGGGACTGGTCCACGCGTTATTCACGTGGGGTCGCGAGCAAGCACACCCTTGGGTCAAAATACCATTTTGAAATAAGGCGCCAGGTCATGCGTGATAGTGAGATATTCGTCTTTACGGTTCATCTTTGGATTTTTGAAATTTATCCAAAACGCTTCAAGAGTTTTGCGCGTTGATGTTTTTGATTCCTGCGCTAGGATCCGCACAGTCACTTCAAAATCATCGCCGTTGTGCTTTTGTGCCCTATGCGTACCTAGAGGATGAGAAACAACGACAACGACAACGAAGACCTGTACCAACCTCGCCTCAGCTTAAGATGATCTGTTATTACATAATATTTAAGACAATGAAGGGTCAATATTCAAGACTTCTTCCATTCACTAGGAGCTTCATTGAGGAGAGACAGTTATATCAAGATCACATATTTCTATACATATTACTATATGTTATTACTTTCTATACATATAAAAACATATTTCTAGAGTTTCATCAATGCTTCTTGTGCTGACCGCGTTTTTCACTCTGCTCCATCTTTGGCTCACAGCTTTCAAGACGGCAACTCTGACACGAAAATCGTCTCTGGTCGGTGCGTAGATGCTAGCAATACCCGTAAAAATATATCTATCCCACTACTTTGCTTATGAAGCAAAATACAAGCGTTACTTTTAATTTACAAACCACTGAACATTTGCTAAGGTGATAACAGTTTGTGTCCCCGCACATAAGAATGTCACAGTTCTTGACAGTTCATGACACATTAAGGACCATCGGACTTTTTTACTGATTAAAATGTCATTGACAGTTTGAGATTCTTTTTAAAAGATTTCAATATGACTTTCACCTAACATTGACACGGACAATTAAATTTTTTGGTTCACTGGTCTCATCGCATGTTCGTATCATAGCACTCTGAATTCAGTGATGGCACTGAAACATTCGTGACAACTAAGTCCTTTATAAGCGCCTTGTGTGAGCAAACAACTAAAGTAATCCTTTGTCAACTTTCTCATAACCTTCGGTCGCGTCCAAACCGACGTGGGAGTTCTTCCTGGCATATGGCAGTAGCTTGTCAGCTCGTAATTGAATACATTCATTATAAAATAGCGGTCACTAGGCCTACTAGAAAGTGCTGCAACAGTACTGGCATCATATCACTTTCTCGTAGTAACTCTCACAACCGGCTTTCTGTTAACCTCGGCATTGATCGAATAATTCACTTTGATGAGCAAAAACGAGGATGTTACCTAAGTAACAGTAACAACGTCGTGTTTGCTCATCAAGAAAACAGTGAATTACATCACTTCCTGTTCGTGAGAATATTATGCACATTCAAATGACTGGTGTTATGCCACTCACATGATCGATGCCGACTTCTTTCCTTCCCAAATGCGAATTTTAATGAAAAATCTCGAGCATAAAATAATCCAACAAGACACTTCATTCTTATTCGATGCCTTGCTGTGATGTACCCCGCTTTACCTAGTTTTCCGTCTGTAGATACAGCAACGTATGCGTGGTTCTCGATCCGTGCCACTCCTCTAGCTGATCATGAAAAGCCTATTCCTCCAAATCATTTGCTACGCAGATACTGGTATTTGTCTGGTGATATGGAATGCCGTGACTGGACCCCGTGTGTTGACATGATAGGTAGCAGCTATTTCTGTGCCAACGACACCGCTAACATTTCTCGCCGACGCTCTTTCACGAATAATAAGAATCCAATCATTAGGCCTGTGTGTTTACCTGCTTGCTTCCGCTTTCGGAACAGGCTAATTTCCTTCCAACAGTTAGATTACTTTGATAAATAAACTTTGCTTGAGCTACACGTAAATCAGATACAGTTCCATTACCTCTGAGGGTAAAGTTAAGATAGCTTGTCTAAGATATGGTTTATTTCGATAATACCGTAATTACCACTCTCTTCTCCTAATAACAATATTCATGTTGCAGAATATTTATTCTCACTATACTGTTGGTATATTTTTAGCGCTACAACATCAAGTGTGTTTGTTGGCGTCCGAACGTCATACACAACTTGCTTCGTTCATGCTGCCAATCATTATCACCGCTTGTGTTGTTATAGAGGATAGCGTATATCAAAGCAAGTAAGCATTGTTTGCAGGGGATACATGGAATAATTCCGCATTCCGCATCAGATACAACTTTGTTTTATGTTCAGCAACAAGGATTATATTGTCCTTGAGTGCTATATATTCTCAATTTTACTACGACCTGCAAAAAAGAAACCCTTAACCAAAAGCTCTCTTTGACTTATAGCACAAAGCAGCTGTTACACTCATTCATTTTACTTTCCTACATATTATTTTACATAGAATTCTTCATGAACTGATTTCAGCACCAATCACGAAAGGCACCGAATCTTCTAACATCATCTTATTACAAGAAATGGACTTCGAATCTTCATAAATGCCAACGATTAAATAACAAATCATGTACATTATTTTACTTATGTTAAAAAAAAAGTAGAAAAATAAGCAATGTGTGAAGAGAGCTTTAGAAGAACAACGGTAAATGAACACGATTTGTATTTGGAAACTAAGAAATTGTGCAGACGTCATTAAGGCTTACATTAATATTAATTCTAATGTGATGTTTGCGCACTGCGCAACTACAGTACTAGTAACATCATCAGTGAGAAAACTGAAGAGAGTTGCAAGTATATGAATCTGAACATATCACAGGTAATTTTACTCATTTTTAATGTCAACAACACGTTTGCTGGCTGGAAGTAAAGAGCAAGACAGACGCGGCTCTATGAACGCTAATAATGCCACATATCGAAAGAAAAGAGAACTCATAGCTACAATATGCTACAATATGAGCGTTTAATAGACTAGTGGTTATAGGTTACGTGGTTGTCCCAGACAACCTGTACCGATTAGATCAAAATTCCGCACTACTTCAGCGACACTGGAATCTATGAGATCTGGGACATACCATTTAATCGAAAACCATTTCCACTATCGAAGTTTTGTCAGATAGATACCGCGCATAAAAACTATTTTCTTAAGGGTTGCTAGTTTTTGTATAACCACTTTATGATTTGGGCAGAACTTCGGCGACGTGGTGGTCTGCAGGACTGGCACAGACTGTGATGAAAGAGTGTGGACGACGCGAGAAAAGAATAATGAGTGATACCGGGCTACAACACACCACCTCAACACGATGGCGTCGTCAGAGTCGTCGGGCTGTCGTTCTGCTTACGTATCTTGTATGTCTTCGGCGGCAACGGAGGTGGTGTGTCTGGTGATAAAGGTGATACGCTCGTGCGTTGTAATGACGGACTGCCGGTCGTACGCCTACAAAAACTATCACAGTGCTACCGCCTATTTGTAGGAAATAAGAATAACAGTATCACGAGAATCGATAAAAACGACAAACGATCAAAGTACATTTTTGGTGGCAGTGGTGGTGGAGTTTGCTGCGCTGCAGTACCACGACGTGGTGGTAAGGCTGGTGGTAATGGCACCGATAAGCAGACTGTTGGTGAACTAGACTCACCAAATGCCCTAAAACTTCATAGAATTGTTAAAATAATCAGCGGAAGTTCCCAAATCATGTTAGGAATTAGATCCTAGTCAACCACCTAGATTAAGCATTCGATAAACAAATGTTGAAAACTAAATATGTGTAAGTCTTTATAAAAAAAAAAATCAAGACCAATACAAAACGACGGTCACAAGACCGCGAGTTAATAGAATTTCGCCAACATTAACGAATTTCTTGCCAAACAAGTAAGAAGAAAATAACATAAAACATGTCTTAAGTTACTTTAAAAAAGACTCACTATCTCTTTATTGAGAACAAACTATAACATTGTCTTACCGATCAGGCAGTACTCGAAGTTGTTCATTGTTCGACATCGTGGCGGATGCTGTCGTTGACGTCGCTAAACCAGTAACGCGTGGTGGAAGTGCTGGTGGAGGCGAATTTTGAGCTTCGATTGTTGGGAAAACAAACGCTGACGGTGCATGGTCTAAAAAACCAATAACAGAAGTAATAAGTAGTCTTGTTATAGACCAAATGACTGATAGTATAAGCAGTTCTGAGGAAATGTATGTGACCAATGACGATACGTTGCATAATCTCAATCCTGCACGTTTAACGCATATGTTTTAATTTATTGGCCACCACTGTTAAGCGTCCGTTTAATATACAGGAAATATCTGATTACAACTCTCATTTATATCACTCCTTCGATACTTTCCATTCACCATCCTGTGCATGAAGCGAATAACAAACTAACCTCAAGGCAGTGACTAAAAGATCCTAAACTCAACGTCGAAACCCGTGCATGTCGTTCCAAATTACCCTAATAGTTAAATGACAAACAGATTTTTGTAGTTCTTTTTAGCACCAAAGGGTATGATTAGATATTATGAGTCTCTTTGGAGTTAGTCATACCGAATTCATGTCATGTATATTTATACGCACACAACACAATAACAATCTGTATCACATCTGGCTTGTTGTGAATCTTTGAAATTTTTGAACGTGTACCATAAGGGCAACCACGGCACATTGTTAACTTCACAAACCCTTCACTCAACCTATCGGTGCCGTATAATCATTTACACGTTGCAAAACAAGCACCGCAAAATCCTACACTAACTATTACTTTTTGGCAATTTTATGACAGTTATATTCAAGCACTGAATCAATCAACCAATTCATTTGCTCAGATAATCCTAGAAAATCAAAGAGACCGCAACAAGGTGTAACGCCTAGAATACACATGGCAAGGTTCACTCTATGTATAGAACAACTATGAGATTAGATAACTCAACTTCCAATAAAAGAAAAGGACCAGACCTGACGCTCGAACCGGAGTTTTTGGGGATCGATTAGATGGTGACGAATTCATCGGTAGTGTTCGTCGAGGGTGGAGCGGTGGCGCCGGTAATGAAGCACTAGGAGCACCCAGCGGCGAAGTAGCGATTGCAGATTTCTGCGCCTTACGTGGAATTAACGGAGGTGGTTGCAATTGGCCTACAAGCGTGAAAATTTTTGCTCTGTTCCAATAATGATATAAAAAGAGAGTACGGAATTTTCTAGTACCATTCACAATCTAGACATATAACAAAGCATAGTGTTCGAGCTGGTCTCCAAAAATAAAGCGTATGATCAACGACAACTCACCTATATTGTATGTTCGCCTTGGTACGTCGCCAAAAAACTTAGGATGTTGTCCTGGTGTTATGTCTATAAGCGAGAAATGTGCACCATCTTCAGGTGGAGTTAAAAGCGTAGGTCGCGATCTGCAAATTCAATAGACCGTTGAGAATGAAAACCTCTATCAAACCTTGCCCACTTTATAGCATAATGGTCACTTGAATTTAATGCAAACAAAGGTATCCAGTTAGGAAAGGTTTAACAGTAGAAAAGGTTCATAACTGTTTTACAAGAAGCACTGGAGAAAAAACAAATAGACCAACAAGCAGGATAACTTATAGGTAAATAATTTTACTCGTCTTCCCATTTTTGATAGAAGTTCGGTGACATACTCGTTGCAAGGGACAAAATTGTATAAAATTGCATAAGAACTCTTTAGTTGTCAGTCAGTGATCTCCATCAAATGTTGTTTGTAACGCATCATTCATTTAAGGCATGCTATAACATTTCATAAAAAAATAGCTGAACTTCACCTACAGGCAAGACAAGGAGGGGTATAGGTGTATTTTGCTGTGAGATGAACAGTGGAAATGATATCAAAACAGGAAGCATAAAACAAATCATGACCCATCAGTTTCCATTATAAATGATTTTATTCAAGTAGCTTTAGTCTTTCTGTAACTTTTGTCTTTAAAATTTATGGTCTTTCACAGCAATGACTGTCAACGTCTAAGCAATGAGAAGTGGACAGCAACAGGTAATTGGGGAGAAGTGGACGTACGTGAGTTGATATGTGTAAAATAACGAAAAAAGACAACAAAAGAAAACTTGATGATAAAGTACATAGAAGGACAAGATCGGTGAACGAGCGCATGATAATGAACAAGTGCCTTTACCAAAACTGGTTATCGCGCAGCAACGAGTAATTCCACTATCGCGCAGTTGTCCGGAAGTAAACGATACATGAACGCATAGCTCTCACACTTTCATTCAACTAAAACGACATTTCATACTAATGTGAGGTTTAGTGTGAAGTTTAATTTGAATCTTCGACTAGAAACAACAATAACCATAGGTCGCAGGCAAACACTTCATAAAGTGAGAGGCTGTGAAAATACACGTGACAATTCAATAAATTTCCTCCACCGATCAATAATACTTTGTATCATATCCTAAAATCCTCTAAATAAAGCCTAAAAATTCTTCTGAAGACAACAATCGTAGACCTATTTTAGAATATTTTTCGCTTTCAGCTTCTTTTTTTCAATCCCGTCCTGAAATGCGCTCGTTATCGAAGACCGTACTATGATAAGGCATGCAAGAAATCACTCAATTTCACTATATAACTACGATAAAACTTCGTATTTTTGCAACTCTATGATGCCACAGAATTTGTGGCTCATCCCCATTCGACCGAAAAAGAAGCAAACATACTTACCCTTCTCCGTCCGGCCTCGGTGTACTCGGTGCCGTCGAAGATTGCGTGCTGCAACTGGTGCCGGCATGATGATGACTTGTGGAGTAGTGATTTGATTTAGGAGGTTTTATTCCCGGTGATTTCAGCACGTGCAATGATCGCTTGGGTTTCTGTAATCGTTCCAGAGTGTTCCAACTGCAGTTTTTCACTGGAATAAATGCTTACGAATCACCAACCACATCTGGAATTCTGTCCGCCTCCTTTGGTTGAACTTTGAGAGATTTCTCATAAAGATATGTCTCTAAGGCGTCGCCATCGTTGTTAAAGTCACTCTTCGGGTTGATTGACTCGAAGAACTCCTGAAGAAATAAACTCGAACTGGTAACCATAATTATTATGCGAATTCCTAAATTTAAACACACCCTAGCCACAACTACGTGGAAATTTGCCTTGTTACATACATATTACACCTTACAATGAAAACCTCCCAATGGTTTACCACCTCATCGTGGCTGGAAGGTGCTCCTGGGTTTCGGACTGCGATGTATAGCGGGGGGTTCATCCCCTGACAGGGTCTCCCAAGCTGAGAAGGAGTCCGACGTTTCCATCAGGAAGCCTAGCTAAGAGTAAACCAATACCAGAATCCGCTACCATCCTGGTATCAAAGTCGCATGGTGGCGAATCTCTCTCTGATCCACACGAGCTGCGACTGCCCGTGGTGACGAAGACCTGAGGCAGACTTTGGCCAGGCTGACCTCTGCACTCCAGGAAACCATAATGGCTTAACTAGCAAATCTCCGAAAAATAGAGATTATGCTGGGTCCCGCACAACCAGTGAGGACGGGCCATTCAAGTACCACGTAAGTAAGTACAATGAAAACAACTAGCCGATTGATCCAATGGAAACACTTGATTATTTTAGAAAAGTAGTTAACGCCATATCTAATTTGAAAAGACATATTCATTTCAACTTACCTTATCAGATGTATCATCTACAAATATGTCAAAATCATTAATATCAAGGTTAGAGATAAACCAGAAACCGGAACTAGGCATTCAAGAAATCAACTACTTGTTTTCCATTTGTTTCGTATTTAGTGTGAAACCATTATATTATGCCTCTTCTCACTGGTACACTATAGAATTCTTAGGATGCTGTTTTGAATAATAGACGAGCACGGTATTACTGTTTTAGCACACATTCCCAAAACAATATCAGGAGAATCCAAGTAATCACACTTAATTTACTTTAACGTCGGAGGGTGTGAGTGGTGGCGATTGAGGACAGCAGCAACATAGGTGTGCGGATAACATTGTCCCATATCACTGAAAGGACTGTACCAGCAAAAACTCGTTCCTCCCACAACGGAATTGATGCGATATTAATGCATAATGAGCGAATAAAATGTATGCATGACAGGCAAGAAACTACTAGAAACACGATGCTAAACAATTCAGCTAATGGATTAGGAATGCTGCTCATGAGATAAAAGCAACGTATTGCAATACTAAGACGGCCGAAGCATTATGGATTGCGTACAAAAGAAAAATAAATCAAACGATAGTGTGCAAATACGATTGGGCGGTGACATGAAGACAGTGCGGGTGAACCTTATGGCATAATGGTGAATAGAATGCACTCACTCTTACCAGTGACAGATAGGGCAAAATCAGTTAATGATAAGAAGAATATAAATCAACTATGAGAGGTGTTTAGCATGATACTCTACAAAGCAAGCTCTGGAAAAACAGCCAAGGTGGTTGTGGACAAGAATCTGAATTCCTCTTACTCTCCACCGGCATTTACCATCACAATGTTCAGTATCAAAGCTCAGATTTAGATCCTATATTTGCCTTCGCAATTATAAACAAATTTTCAAGGAAACTTATCCTACTACAAAGAGAAATTCAAATGATCACTACAATTTGACAAGGTGTATACATATAATCATTGACAAAACGAAAGAATTTTATGACGATGACAACAGGTTTATGCCTCGTCACGTTCAGTGGACCATTTCTGAGACAACAGCGCTGGACAAGAAGTCAGCTAAGCTTTACTGGTTAAAACGTCATCACGTTCCTGCACATAAATATTGAACACAGCACTGGTGGAGTGGGTGGATGAGCACGGATAGCTAGCTACATCAGTGTTACAAACTCATATAGTGAACGTTTTCCATAGTAAAAAACCTCCACTGTCCTTTTCACATGATCATGTAGCGCGGCTATCAAATCCACCTCAGTAATAAACACCAGCTGGCCTATGATTAAGAGACAAAACGTAGACGGAAACATGTGGTACGGATCTGGGCCAAAGTAAATAATGGTCGGAAAGAAACTTATTTCTAACCCACCAATAACAAAACATAACCAATACTAAGTATATGGTATATTCACCACTTTATCACCGTATTAGTCGCATGGTAGGCGCACCTGGGAACTCAGATTACTGTACAAGCAGTAAAAATATTAAAAAAAGGAACTTATAGAAACCTATTAGTGGCACCAAAGGAAAACACGATGGATATTACTGAGATATTATGAGCAAAAATCGGAAAGATATTACAAATGAATACAGGGAAGGTCCATGTCGCCCACCGTGGAATTCCATCAATGGTGCATATCTGGGAAAACAGAGAGGTGTGAGACGACGAATCCGAATGACGCACAGAGCGGAAGTGGCTTTGGAGACATCTGTTACGCGCAGAGGTGTGGCCATAGTGCCTGAACGAGTTCACTCACATTTAGCGTGCCGGTCGCCCAACATGTTCTTCTCGGACACAATGTAGATGTTCGACTCCTACGACACTCCATCTTCGAACGGGCACAATTACTCATACTTCCAATACTTAATGATATATGTACTGACAATGCCATTTCTTCTACCATGGCGACTCGGAACTGAACTTGAACCGCTACGTAATGAGATTGATCCAATGAGATAACAACAAAGTTGAACTGGAAAACATTGTCATGTGACGACTCGTAAACACCCATACATTTGAGATGACATAAAAATGTCCTTTAACCCCCAGTTAACAGTATCCTTTGGATACCATTATTAAGTGGTGAACCAGAAACCAATCACCATAATCCCTTTTGGGTCAGCTCAGGATCGAGCAGTTATCGCCGCCATATCAAAATACATCCCTTATATTTACATAAATTTTAGAGGCAATCCAAATGACTATACAGTAGCCGAGTTCTCTCATAAGGACCACAATGTTAGAGTAATTAATGATTTTCGAAACTATAAATTTTTACAAGGATTCAACCAAGTATGGTACGATCATGTTGCCGATAATCAACTTCAAATCAATGCAAAACAAAATTAGACTAATATATCGTTTGTAACCATAGAACACTAACTAATACTGGGGGCTAAAAACATTTTTATCTACTCGCATTCCATTTAGAATTAAGGAATTCTTTAATTCCAACTCAAATGCTTAATGTTTTGCAGACGTAACATATTTCCAAGGCGATTGTCTTCAAAGATCTCCGATGGACGGTATACCGATACCTTTCATATATCTTCGATGAACGAGAAACTTAAGAGAAAGTGGGTGCAGCCAGCGGTCTCGTAGCTCCGGAACAGCCGTCCGGAAATGAGAGGCAGAGGGCACCGACGGGCAAAGTGGTGTCTGCAAAGTCGGCAGCACTGCACGCCCCTAGGAAGAAAGGAAGAACTGATAGACTATAGAGAAAAAGTTTTCCCGGCGGCAACATATGGCACGTGTATGACTTTCCTCCGCTCCAACACCCACATTCGTATACACAACGCTTTTTGCTACTTTCCGCTGTACGGCTGGAAATCCGATGAAGTAGTTTTCACTTTCCATAAACTTCAGTTTAAGTTGTAGAAATCAACACTTCCGTTAAGAGTTTAAAAAACCTCTAGTAGAAACTGTTGTTTCAGTTATTAAATTTCTTTCCAAAAAACCGTGCAAAATAGGATATACACTTGAATAAAATATAACCATGATAATGAATGAATACTGTACAGTCTACGCATCCATGTAATTTGACTGAAATATCTTAATTTATCAATGATAAGGTTAAACGAGGTTAACACAAAAAGCTGAGTTTGAGTGGCTATGAACCATGGACGCCTACACTGCAAATTGTTAAAAATAAGGTGGACCGGACACGGAATGCGTATGAACGACAACCGATGGGCAAGAGCCGTTAGTGGCCGAATTCCTCGGAATTTCGAAAGCACAACAGGAATACATGCGATCCGACGGTGAGTTCTTCATGAAAAACCCAGAAGAAAGATATGATGATCAACTAGTCGGTACTGCGAGCAGAACTTACTTGGTAACTCTTGCAAGCGACAGGGAGAAATGTAAGGTTCATTGGCGTTCGCTCGAGTCACTTTGGCGATCAGTGGGACCATAGATGGTAGCGGTGAGATGAACTACGAAGGTCTCTACACCGCGAAAGCTCTGTGTCTGCTTTGGACACTCGATTCGGCTTATCGCCGTTCTGGAGATGACAAAGACGCCCAAACGTTGGCTGCAACAAAGTTTTCGAACCTCGTCTAAACTTACCAATAAACTAAGCTGCTAACCACCCATGCTATGAGATTAAATGGAAGGCAGTGTGAAAATATTTAACTCACACAATTTATAACTGACCGACAAAATGTGTTGGTGCTTAATTGTCCGTTCTCTCTTAAAGTGGAAATAATTCTTCCTGTTAATCATCAAGGAATTCTCTACTAACCTCCTATCTAACTTTCTACAGGTTTTTTAAAATGTAGTTCAGCGTTTCGCAAACTGTGCAGTTCCTCGTTGCGAAAAAATAAGAGCTCTTATTTGTGAACCAATAAGAAAAATCTTACAGAACAAAGCCCCACATTAAAAAGTGAGCAGAGAAATGTTGAACTATTTATAGAACTCCACCGCATTCGTGGTCGTAAATTCTACAAAATATGTGTAATTGATCACTAGCGCCATACGCCGGAAGTACTCTGATGACGAGCATCCGAAAAAAGAGAAAACCAGTCGTCCACACATTCAGCTAACAGATTGATAGCAAACAAGTTATCAGCATTCACCATTGGCCATCGTCTACCGAAAAAAAAAACGATTATCTTCAGGAACTGCCACGACCGACTTTCTATTAACCTCGGCATTGATCAAGTAATTTTCTTCGTATTTTTGAGCAAACGCGAGGTGTTATTATTCTTTGTTCACGATTAAGCTGACATTTCGGCGGATTTCGCATTCCTCAGAGCCGCTTCTTATGAGGTTTCCACTAAGTATGTCACGTAGAGACCAACCGCACAGAAATCACATGGAAGTATAATGTGATTTATCCTACTTACTATACTACTTTATACCACTGTTCAGGGAAACCATACGTATAAGAAAATTAGATACTACAGAAACTCAAAGGACGAACATCAAGTGCAGTAGGAATAGCTGAGAAACTAATCGTAATTTATTAAAACATAGGTCTCTGTGTTTAATAATGACATAGACCAAGGTTTTTCAAGAGAAGCTTCCATCCAAAAATTTCTATGAAGGACAGAAACCATTTTAGACAGGAAAATATGGCCCGTTACACAAAAAATCCATTTGAAATCAAACGGAAACGTAGCGCCTATTCAACGACCTGACACAGGCACAGTTTTCGCCCATGTATTACTATGTGCGACTGCTATCCACCAACTAATTGGAATACTTACAACAAATACCGGTGGGTGTTTAAATGAAGCTGTTTCTTATGCAAATACAAATTTATTTGTTAAGTTTTATCTGCTGGGGTTATTAAAGTGTCTGACTGGGCAGGCAGATCGCATCTCAATTTAACCTTCCCAGACTCTGAAGAAGGCGCAACCGCCGAAGCGTCAGCTAATGTATCCTAATAAATTCTATAGTACCAATCTCGTATCTGCTTATTGAAGGAAAGCATCAGAAAAACGTTAATGGCTTTACAATTTATAAAGCTTCTCTAAAATTTTTGGCGCACCTCTGTACGCTGAAAAACTAATGAGTTATGAAGTCATTCGTACTGTCACGTAACATTATGGATCTTATTAAGGA